GATAATCTGCTCTGCATACATGTTGAAAAGGTATGGAGACAGGATGCATCCCTGGCGTACACCCTTCCCAATTTTAAACCATGCAGTGTTACCCTGCTCTATTCTAACTACTGCCTCTTGGTCCAAGTACAGGTTTCGCATTAGCACAATTAAATGTTCTGGGATTCCCATTCCGAGCGGCGAGGCGCTCATGGCCGCCGTCAGGATGGCCGAGCGGTCTAAGGCGCTGTGTTCAGGTCGCAGTCTCCCCTGGAGGCGTGGGTTCGAATCCCACTCCTGACACGCCACGCCACAGTGACCCTTTGAACAAAAATCTGAACCCTCTTCTACCCTGTGCTATCTTCACACTTCCTGACACACAAGAGCCCACTACAGCACTGTGTCAATTCACCTGGTTGAGGGACTTCCACTCCTTCACAGACCCTCCATTCTTCCCAGCATCATGTCCTTATCTAAGGAACAGCACCTCCTACAATATGCCCAAAGTATGTGAAGCAAAGCCTTCATCTTCTTGCCCCCAGTGAGCACTCTGGCTGCAACCTCTCCAAGATATATCTGTTTACTCTCTGTACATGGAATGTTCAGTGCTCTTCTCCAACTCCCTAACTCCAAGGCCTCAATTTTTTTTTCTGTCATCCTTATTCACTATCTAGCTCTCAGATGCACAGTTAGTCATCGGAAAGACTATGGCTTGCATCAGACACACCTTGGTCTTCCAACTGACATCACTACTCCTCAATAATTTGAAAAGGTTACCCCCCCCCTTTTTTTTTGCTATATACACAATTTATAGTGGAGACAAAATTTTCACAGAGGCAATCTGGCATCATGCAGCATTTTTAAAAGAAATCCATGTGTAAGTGGACCCGTGTCATTTAATCTCATCTTGCTGATAGGTCAACTGTACAGTGCTTTCCTTAGTTCTGTGAGGTATTCTAAGGAATTATTAAAACCAATGGAAAAGTAGAAATCAGCAGATCAGAAGCGAGGGGGATCATCCTGGTGACCCTTGAGTTTATGGCTAACATACTGAGTAGGCATAGGAAATCTTCAAATTTATACCCAGTAGATAAAAGAAGAAGGGAACTCTTGTGGCTTAGTGGTAAGGAAATGTACTGACAACTCAAAAGAATGTGGTTAAAATCCACTAGCCACCCCCTAAAAGAAAAATGGACAATCTCCTCTTATGAGATTTACTACCTCTAAAATCCTAGTGGGAAGTGAGCTATGGGTCAAGTCACAATCAATGGTAAACAACAGGTAGGAGGAGAAGCCTGGAAAATTCCAAAGCTTATCCCCCTGGTTGGTGGGAAAATCTCAAATCTGCAGCCAGCATGTCAAAAGGACCCCAATGTTATTACTGGGAATCTGATGTCTGTGGTTAAAAGAAGTAGTAGGCTAAGCAGCAGGGAATTGTGCTGCTAGCCTAAACACGGCCACTTAGAACCACTATGAGCTCCATGGAAAGAGGGACATGCAATCTTATCTTCTCTTGCATAATTTATAGCCCCTGAAAACATACTGGAAGGTCAGTTCTGAGTTGTTGCTGACTTGACAGCAATGATGTATTTTTTTTTAAGTTGGCAATTAACAGAATAAAACACACTGATTTAATAGGCACTACTTTACAAACTCACTTTAAAAGTAAAATTTGATAAAACTGAGCTGTATGCTCCCTTGGACATATCCAACTCTAGTATATGTTGCATAAATATTGACATGGACAAAGAAGTTTTCACTGAAGCACTCATTATTTCCTGTCAAGATTTAACCCAATTAAATTACTTGATGTTATAAAGTATGTTTACAGTGTTAATCCAAACGCCATGCCTCTCTACCAGTTTGAATTCCACTGGAGGCTCCTAAGAGAAGGGTGAGGAATCTTCTCCCATGAAATTTACAGCCTCCAAAAACCCACTGGAGGGTAAGTTATGAATAGGTTCCAACTTGATGGCATGAGATAATGATGGGTAGGCAAATTCATAGCAGTTTTGAAAGAATACAAATAAAGCTACTAACTATAAGGGGAGTGAGATTGGGGACATAAGAAAAAGCAGTGTAAAATGGGCATGTTTATAAATATACTTAGAAAGGAACTCAAAAAAGTTCAATTCTAGTCTGGCATTCATGAAAATGATCAATATCTGAATATTTGGCATAATTCTGTATTTTAATATCTATGTTTCACATACCCTCTTATTGTACCGTTTGTCTCAGGATCACCAGGGTCCAACGTCTCTTTTAAGAAGTTTATATAATGAATCCAAAGGTCAACACTAAGAGGAATTGCCTGAAGTCCCCGACGATAAACCTAAGAAGAAAACAACAAACTGTACTTCAACTATTTAAATATTTTTTCACAGAGAGGCAACACTGTGTTATCCGGTGAACCTTAGAAATACTAATTACTGGAATTTTGTTTAAATAATCTACCATTACCATTTGGGTGGAGGTTGGATAGAACATGGCAATGTTCTGATCCCCACGTGCAGAGTCTTGATCTTCAAAGCGCAGCAGTCCCTGCATTCTGACCGGGTTGTGTGGGCAGGCTTTGGGTTACAGACCAAAGGGCACAGACCCATTAGAGCATCAATGACAGCGTCTGACCAAAAATGCAATAAGACGTAGCAAATGTGACTAGCAAACCAACTATATTGTTTGGAAAATGAGAAATAAATGTAAGTGAGAGAAAAGCCCTGCCCTACTTGTTAAGCTGCAGTGTAATACAGAGGCTTGCACTGCAAAGCTTGACAAACTGTAGAGGTTTAACGCACCTGCCAACAAAGAGAGAAAATATTAGCTACAAATGCCACAAGAGTGACAAATGCAAATAAAATACCCTATAAAATTGTTTGACCATAAATGGTAGATACTGCCAGCCAAAAAATAAAAAGTCAGTTTTGTAATTATTTGGCTTACAGTACCTAATGGAAATAACTTTATTGAGAGTTGTACGCACCTCATCTGATTGTTTTATGTTGTCATGTCGTTTTTCAAGATCCGCATACTTTTTCCAGTAACCATAGCAATATGGATAGTGAATAAAAAATTTGTCAAAAGCTTTCCTGGCAGCCATCAAGTGATTCTAATGAAAATAAAACAAAATGTTTAAATATATTATAATTTTCTACCACAAAATATTCATACTCTTTTCATATATATTACCCAAATAAAACCAGATTTAAAACATATACACACTATAGTCTTTTTTACCTGGAAATACAAGCATGTCCTCTGAAGCAGAAAAGACTAATTCTGTTATATAGCAAGATACATTTTTGATTCAGCAATTTTACACATACACACATTATAAAATATTAGGTTTTGAACACACACACACACACACACACACACACACTCTCTCTCTCTCTCTCTCTCTCTCTCTGACTCCAAATGTATAAACTGCTATTTTTCAAAACTAAGTTACTTTTCAGAACTAAAAATGTGTGTATTTATTCAGTTTCATCTAAGTTATAAAAAAGTCAATCTGCCTTAAATAATAAGGCTCGGTAATATTTTATTTTTCTGTCCCTTTTAAGACCATTTAAATAGTTACTAACCTCCTGTTCTACATACTGAAGCAAATATACCCAGCCTGTAAAATCCTGAGGGTTATTTTCTACAGTTTTCCAAAACTTTTCATATTCTGGAGGAAAATTTGCTTCAGAGTCTATCACTGGGAGGTCCACGGCACTTGGAATTTCATTTTCTTCCGTCGTTGCATTCACACTAGGAGATCCATCAGGTGACTGTTCCATTTCAGTAACATTCATAATTTCAGTACTGAAATCAGCAGATAGTTCTACTGCTGCTACCTCCGAACTGCTGCCTGTGCTGCCATTACTAGAATTTCTGTACTCATCCATGTGAGAATTTTGCATAGCTGTTGACGCTGCCTTCTACTAAAAGATCTGTGAAAACACAAAGACAAATATCTTCTAAATGCTAATAAAATTACTTAGTGCCATCAGCAATCTTTTTAGAAAGTCCTATTAATTTGGTTCTTGATATTTACTATAAGTTATAATCAGAAAATTTATCAGTTTCTCTTATAATTGAAGTTCTATGAGATATTAATTCTTCCTAAAGACTGCTATTTTGTGTATTTTAAGAGAAAATTAAGTATCTTTGGATTAAGTTTTTCATTCATAAAACAAATATATATGCCTACTACCTAAACAAGCTAAAAGTCTGTTGTTGTTCTTGTTAGGTGCCCCCAAATTGACTACAACCCATAGTGACTGTGTGAACAACAGATCTGAACTCCATCTTATCCTGTGCCATTCTCATAATTCCTGACACATTAGAGCCCATTGTGGTACTCCCTGTGTCAATCTACCTGGTCAAGATTCTTCTCTTTCACTGACCCTCCATCCTTCCAAGCATGCCAGAAGTATATAAGGTGAAGCCTCATCATTCTTGCCTTCAAAAAGCACTCCGGCTGCACCCTCTCCATGTCTAAAGCCAAAACCTTAGGAAGTCTAAAAATTTACTGCTTCTTAAAGTGAGCTAAAAATATAAATAACTCTAAATAAAATCTGTGAGAGACTATGTTAAGTAAAATGGAACTGAATTCTAATAAAGGATATAACTATTTCAGAAAGTTCATTACTTAGCCCTGAAGAAAGTGGAAGGTTATACTATTGAAATACATATGTATAATGATAATAAATTTTATATCCTAAAAATTTTCTATTTTATGAAAGCAGACAAAAATCATGGCCAAAAAATTAAAATTTATTTTTAAAGTAAAATATCATTTTAAAATGTATTTAACCTGATAACAAATGAATGGACAGAGAAGCTGTGGTACAGTCAAGAAATGGAATACTATGCAGCACTGAAAAACAAGGAACTCATGAAATATTCTACAAAATGGGTGACTCTGGATGACATTACACTGAGTGACAAAAGGACAAATATTGCATAATGCCACAATGCTAATGTTATAAAATAGGACTGATATAGGGGTTAGGGAGAAACGAAGAAAAGAGGATAAATAATGTACACTGCATTGAAATAGATGAGGGAAAGAACTGTTTAAAAGGAATATATGATTAGGTATTATCTGCATGACAACAGTCCAGAATAAGAGCTGCATAGTCAAGTTAGGAGGTGGAGGTAGGGAGTAAATTGTACAACAACGAAAGAATTTTTGTTAAAAAGATAAAAGTTAACTAGGGGGTAGGGTAGGCAGGGAGGAAAATGTGCAACAATTAATGAATGGAAGCTTAAAAAAATTTATTTTAAAAATACCTAAAATTCATTTTAAAAATTTTCAAACATTTAAGATGTAATCATTCCATTTATAAGGCCAAGATAATAATTATTCCTAGTGTCTAGTTTGTAACATGCTGGGTAACCACACCTGTTTTTTAGGGGGAAATGTTAGCAATTCTAATCCAGCAGTGACTCCACATGGAAAGAGATGGACAATCTCTTCCCACAACAATTTACAATCTAAGAAACACAATGAAGGGTTGCAATGAGTCAAAAGCAACTCTAACAGCAGTAGGTTTATACAGTACTATAATATATTTTGAATGTTGGTTTCATCTTTCCTATTAATAGTTTGCATTCAAAGTGAATAATGAAATTATAAGGGCGTGTTGTATTTTAGGATATTTTTTTTTTCAGGTGAGAAATCAGTCTCAAAATTAAATACCAAAGATTTTGTTTAGTCATAAAATACATTAAAAATACACAACTACTACCACCATCTCAATCTAGAAGCAGTGACAAAGTTTAACAAGACACCAAGTAATAAATGTTGAAGAGGATGTGGCAAGATAGGAACTCTTATACATTCTTGGTTGGATTGTAAAATCATACAACCACTCTGGAAGGTAGTTTGGTGCTTCCTCAAAAAGCTGAACACAGAAATTCTGTATGATCCAGCTATTTAACTGCTTGGAATATACCCTGAACTAAGTCACAAACGGAGAACTGTACACCAATATTCATAGCTGCATTCTTCATCATTGCAAGAACATGGAAATAGCCCATACGTCCAACCACAAGAGAATGGATTGAGAAATTATGGTTCACACAATGGAATACTAAGCAGCACACAGGAGCAATGATTTTGTAAATTATTACATAACTTAAGAGGGACTGGGAAGAATTATGCTGAATGAACTAACTCAATCCCCATAAAGACAGTACTGTATAAAACCATTATCGTAGAAGGAGTATGAAAATCCAAAGGAAGCAGTGGGGTGAGCGGGGGGGTGGGGGGGTTATCCATAAGATCATACAATTTGATTGGGGAAGGTGAAGGGAATGGGAAAGATCCAGTAAGAAAAACAATAATAAACCAGTATTTTTTAAAAAAAAAACAAACAAAACCCCCAAAACACACAACTATATAGCTTAATTAAAAAATTATGAAGACTTTAAAAATAGTATAGGAATGCACTGATTAATGTTCATCATGTATGTATATACATACATATACATAAACGGACTGCTGTCAAGTCCATTCTGACTCACAGGGATCCTAGAGGACAGAAGAGAACATAGGGCTTCTGAGGCTTTAAATCTTTAAAGACGTAGAACAGCTCATCTTTAACCCAAGAAGTGGCTGGTGGTTCAAACATCAATTAACAAACATTTCAATGCAGAGCAGCAGTGCACCAACATTCCTTATACAAACACATATAAACATACATGAATACAGAGGGGAAAAATACACATACACACACACACACACACACCCCCCCCCACACACCCCTGCAAAGATTTACACCAAATCAAAGAAAATACAATTAAAACATCAACTGGTGTTAATAGCTATTCTCCTTGAACAGGTGGAATGAGTACTTTCTTATGATGAAAGATCTAAGACATTCTTAGTTGTTATTGTTATATGCCACCGAATCGACAGCAATTCACAGTGCACGATAGTTCTGAACCCTACTCTAATCTGAGCCAATCTCTGTCTCTGACACATCTATTCTCATCACCCGTTACTGTGTCAATCCATCTCATCCAAGGTCTTCCTCTTCTGTCTCTTGACCCTTCCAAGCATGATATCTTTCTCCAAAGACTGGTCCCTCCTGGCTACATGCCCAAAGTATGTGAGACGGAGTCTCAAAATCCTTCTCTCCAAGGAGCAGCTTGGCTTCACCCTCTCTAGGTCAGACCTGTTAGTTCTCCTGGCAATCCATGGTATGTTCAAAAATACTCTTCTCCAGCACCACAACTCAAAGGCATCAATTCTTCTTCTGTCATCCTTGGTCTGATGTACAGCAAGTAAGTGCAAAGACCATAGCCTGAGTCAAGTACCACACCTTAGTCTCTAGACTGACATCCTAGTTTTTACTTCATTATTCCCTGACTCACAGCTCAGCTGTCTTCTTTTAATAGTCACTTTTTAGTCTTTGATATTCTATTATTATTAGTTTTAAGAGGTTGTTGTTAAGAATAAATTGGTACTAGTAATTGACACATTATGAAAACTTTGGTGTTCACTTCAGCAGCAAATGTACTAAGACTGAAACAATACAGAGAAAATTAGCATGGCCCTTACATAAGGATGACAAATATGTGAAGCATTCCATACTTTTAAAGATTGTTGTTAAGTAAGTAGAGTCATAGATGACTCACAGTGACCCTGTGAACAAAAGACCTGAACACTTGCATAACTTTGATTATTTCTCCAAGTTCATAGTTTCTGGAGGCAAACTATTTCGAAAGTGGACACCACTCCTGTTTCCAAGCTTGTTTTAATCGGGGAGCTCCACCAAACACTGTCCACCATGGGTAACCATTATTGCATTTGACACATCAATGTCACAGTTATTATAGTTCCTAATAAACTCTCCATGTGTAATAGATGCCACATTAGAAAATTCATTGTTCTATTTTGGTATTGTAGTAAAATGGTTTTAATGAAAATACCCTAACAGTCTAAATTTTTCCAAATCCAAGAACATAACAAGATAGAACAAATTTACTAATGACAAGTCACTCACCATCTTATCATTTTCATTAAATAGGATTACTTTTATGTTGTCAGTATTTTTTAAATCAAGTTTTACTCTCAAACACGTAGAAATTATATTTTAAAATTACATGGTTCAATTAATGTATTTTATAATCATTTTATCATATACAGCATTAATATTAAAATACAGCCCTCATATTTACAGATCAGGGAAATTTTTCCTATCACCCTTATTTCATATTCAACCCCAGCATTACTTTTATTTCTGATATTCTGCTGTATAGAACTATGCCAGTGCACAAGAATGAAAATGGAGTAGGTATAGGCAGTGAAGCTCACAACAATCTGGAAAGAATGAATACTAGAATTTTCAAAGAGTAGATAACATTTTCCCAGCTGTTTGAGAAAAGCATAATTGGGGAAAAGGTAAGTAAAGATTTTATATAATTTGTCAAGAAAATATGTCTTGATTTCACTGTTTTACCTATATTTTTTTCATAAAGGTACTACAGATGAGAGACCAGGGACAAAAGAAAGAAGAGTATTGCATTTTAATTTCTTGAACAAGTTGATAAATAAGAAAGGGGGACAGAAGGAGAAGCATGTCAATCAGAAATACAACAATAGAGTGAAAATAAGAGTACAGCCCAAAAGCTAATTGGAATAATAAATAAAATGTGTTTCAAGAAATGGATATAAACAGATACATACGTAGAATAATTTTTTTTATTATTAGGAAAAAATCCTAATGTGATTTAAACTTTCACTCCAATTTAGAAAAAACCCCAAACAAACTTTGATATATTCTTTTAACCATATAATTTCTTAATTCATAATAAAAAAATTATCTCCCTGAGGTTAAGGCAGATGTTCTTAATCCTTTTTACAATACTGTAATTGCAAGGTGTGGAATAAATGAGCCTTTGAAGATGC